TCTTCTTCTTCTTCTTCTTCTTCTTCTTCTTCTTCTTCTTCTTCTTCCTCTTCTTCCTCTTCTTCCTCTTCTTCCTCTTCTTCTTTTATTCTTCCTCTTCCTCCTCTTTCTCCTTCTCTTTATCCTCCTCCTTCTCCTCCTCCTCCTCCTCATTCTTCTTGCCTTCTTCTGCTGCTACTATGATAAAATATCATAACCAGAAGCAACTTAAGAAAAAGGTTTTATTTTGGGTTAGAGTTCCAGAGGATAAGAGTCCATAGTGGAGACAGCGTGGCAGCAGTAGCTGAAGCAAAAGGCTCCCTGATCATACTGTATCTGCACACCAGGAAATGGAGAGACCAAACAGAAACTGGGGTGATGTTATAAACTCTCAAAACCTGCACCTGGTGATGTGGTGCTAATGGAACTTTTTCAGCCAATAGTCTTTAAGATACCAGCTCACTTTGGGCGTGGTCTTATGTACTATAAATGCAGATGAAAAGTAAGCTTGGGACTTTTGGCTGCTGAATTCTGTTCCAGTTCCCAATGTACTCAGAGGACTGTAGATGGCCACTCTTTCTGTGAGTTTATCCCCAGAAAAATAAACCTTTGTTATACTCCAAAGGAAGGGGAAATTGGATTGAATGGGACAATAGGTAGATTAGTGTAATAATAATAATAATAATAATAATAGTGAAATTACTTGTGAGTTATTAATTATAGACAGTTTACATTGGTATAGATTCTTGTATATTGATACAAATTCAAATTATATTTTTATATTGAATATACTACTATTTCTGTTTACAATATTTATATACCCATGCAAAGTTATTTTGTCATATTTGCATGACATGCAAGTTTCTACCTCTGCTTAAGATATTTTGTATATTGAGGCAATTTTAGGATAAATATACCATATTGAACTATACATTTCTACCTCTGATCAAGATACTTATATATTGTTTACATGCTGAAGCCATTGTCCTCATTTGCTGCATATTTGTTTAAATATTGTTTAATTTTTTATATGAAGCCTTAGTCTTTAAGATATATAGACATTAATAATTATAGGCCAAAAGTCAATCATGTTTGTCCTACTTACAGTTAGACTAGTCAGGTTCTTCAAATGCATACAGATTGTATTCCACATAAGTAGGTAATCTTCAACCACTTCAAAGAACTATAGAATATGGCATGTAAATAACTTAGGATTTTGTTGATGTGAGACACAATGGCTCCTGGCAGCACCAATCTATTCCCAAGAAAATGTTGGGTACCGAAGATACTCCACTTAGAGCTTGTTTTCTTCTTGGCAAAACTGGCCTTTGGGCAAAGAACTGTCCCTGCCTCAACTAATGACAAAATGCACAGCATACAATACGATGAACCTGAGAGGGCAAGGTTCTCAAGAACGCGAATCTTCTCTGCCTTTTTCATTTCTCCATGGGAGATAATATTAACAGTGTCCTACTGTTCAAATTAGCATTTGCTTAATGGATGAATACACGAAACAAAAGCTCCTTGAACTGTTTTATGTAAAGCGGTCTAGGAGACCATTTTGAAGTCCAGGCGGCAGAACCAGGTAAGATGTATGTGTCCCTGGTACCTCGACCTTTCAATGGCACATTCAGCACAGCACTCTCGCTCTGTCAACCCAAGCCCTCTTCCTCGTATCTCTCTATCCTACTCCTCTTTGTGGAAAACAGGCACTCCATATGGGTTTATTGCTGGATTCTCAGTTAACAGCTTGATACTAACTGGTCTTAGTTCTTACCAGAACCTGGTGTCACCAGGCAAGTAAAGATCACTCAGTTAGTCGGGTGCTGGTGACGCACATCTCTAATCCCAGCACTAGGGAGGCAGAGGCAGGCGTATCTCTGTGAATTCGAGGCCAGCCTGCTCTACATAGTGAGTTCCAGGACAGACACCAAAGCAAAAGAGAAACCAAACCACCCAGTTAGTCTCCTTGAACCCTGATGGGAGCCACTGATTTCTTGTAGCACAGCCAACAGACCAGTGTAGTATTAATATGCTCGGGTCTTTTCCAGTTCTTCACTGGGGTAATGGTAGGGTTTTGTTGTTGCTGTTGTTGCTGTTTTTAAATACAGGGTGCACCTGCAAAAGGAATATGGAGACCTTTACAGGTTACAGACACCTCTCTACCCATGTCCCGATAGCCGATTTAGGCGTTCAGAGGAAGCTGTACCCATATGTAAAAAGCATGGAGCCTGTTAGCCCCAGGCACTGACTTTCATTTTGGATCTTTACAGGCTAAAGGACCTCATAAACAGTCTGGCCCATTTGATTTAACTCCTTGGGAAAGGCATGCACTGCTGAAACTTGCTTCTCTCTCATTTCTCTGCTGTCTGAGGGCTCCTTGTCATCCATTCAGGCTTTCTCCGTGTAGCTTTCTGGAGGGCTGGAAACTGAGGACTTTATATCAGCTAGAGACAGTCACAGGTGAGGAAGTCTACACCAAACATGGAACACTGGCAGTTCTTGCCCTGTTTTGTCCTAGCCCCTTCTCCTGAAATGCCCTCTTAAACCTTGAAATGCTTTTCTATATCAGCAGTGCACTCTCAACCCACAGTGACGTGCCCATCATCTCTCCTTCCTGGGACATCTGTCCTCACACAGACAATCCTCTCTCCTAGTTCCCTTCCCCACTAGAACTCAAAGGCAGGACCTTGGCTGTCTATATCCTCAGGGTCTGTGACATGAACATTTATTAAGTGAATAATGATAGCAAATGCTCTTTGTCCAACAACCTTAGAAACATGAGCTGACTCTGGTTGTGTCCTTCAATGGTCCTGATTTTGTGCACACCCAAGAGGCATCTTCACTGTTGACCAGGGAGCATCTGGTAACGGCTTCCATTACATTCCTCCTGTATGTCACCTTCCCACACACAAATCTACCAACTCTCAGTGTACATTAAAAAAATGACATTGTTTTATTTCTGCTAGCAGGAACAGGCTGCATGTTATGTCAGATGTGTTGGGCTCAGTGCAGGTGTGGGTGGGGGAGGATGTGATGACTTGGTGGCTGGAAGGGAAATGGGAAGGTTAGAAACGCTTCTGGGAACTCTTGAGGAAGGACTCATGGCATGCTAAGGCTAAGCCACCAATAAGGTTGAGAAACTCTTGGAAATCTAGTTGCCCATCACTGTTGAGATCCAGCTTCTTCATCATGCGGTCCAGGACACCAGGGTCCTTCTGGTTCTGCAAAGACAAGGACATCTTTATATTTCACTTTCTACAGTGCTTTCAAATACGCTGCCATGTCTCATTGTCAATAGAGTACAAGGTCCCGGAAAGGGGTATTAATAGTCCCCCTTTCAATGTGAAGTAACAGAGTCAAAGAGGCGACCTGCTTTAGAAGCAGACCTGGAAATGAACCCAGACTTCCTTGCTCCTTGTCTTTGTCCTGTGTTTTTCTGTGACATTAGGGCTATTAAACTTTGTTAAAGTGTTGTATTCAAGTCCCACATGTAAACCACATGGAAGTGGGTGGTTTCAGGTAGAAAGTTATAGGAACTGCCTAAGAAGCCTCCTCCCTCACCCCTGATCTGAGTCTCTAATACACACACACACACACACACACACACACACACACACACACACACACCACTATCCATATTTGCATTTATATTAACTTATAAAGTCCTTAGCTATACTTCAAGTGAGTAGGATGAGTGTGTGGCACAACCGTGTGAACGGTGGCTACTACAGCAATAGTGTGAAGATAGAATATTCTTTCCACCATTGCAGGAAACCTTATTTATAGGACAGGGCTGCCCTACAGTCTTTGGGGTAGAGGAATAAAATTTAAAAGTGATTCTATTACAGGCCATTTCACATGCTATTCCTGGTGCCAGGCACTTTTATGGCTCACATGGAGCTCACCCCAAGATCCAGAGACTCAGCAAGGGCAGAGAAATGGACCCCCTTGGCCTGGAGCTAAGGAGAGGGAGGCAGTTGCTGATCCATTCCTCCAGGCTCCTGTTTTGTAGGTGAGCAATCAGAAAATGGGGGCTGGGACAGGTACCTTTGTGAAGGCGGCCAGTTCCGTGTTCATGAAGGTGAGGAACTCGGTTTTGGAGAGTTGGTAGCTGTTCCCATCCTTCCCACTGTACTTTTGGAAAACAGCAATCAGGGACTCGATGCATCGCTCAGTCTCTGTAGGTTTGGACATTTTTGCCTTTGAAGAAAACAAAAATGCAGAGCTCAGCTTAAAACCATCTTGAGGATTATAAAGGCTAGCGATCTAGAGTGCTGGCATTTCACGGTGCCTCATTTTGAGCTGAAGCCGTTTCTTAAAGTCTGGCTCATTTATCGGGGGCCAGAGAAGTGAAGATACCACAGAAAGTGACGTTCTGTGACCTCTTTCTCGTAGTTCTACTGTATGTGTTCCCAGTGCAGTAAGGCGTTCCATATAAACCTCGGAGTTTTTGAAAACACGAAACAGTTCAGACAAGGGAGAAACCTTTCTGATATTCTTAGACAGTGTGAGTCCATACACACATAGCCTGTACCACACACACACACTTAGACAGTGTGAGTAGATACATGTATAGCCTGTACACACACACACACACACACACACACACACACATCGTGTGAGTCAATACATGCATAGCCTGTACACACACACACACTTAGACAGTATGAGTAGATACATACATAGTCTTCACACACACCCCTACATACACATACACTGAACCTTGGAGGGAGAGTAAGTACATTGGCCTATTCCCCAAGAGCATAGAGAGGCTGCTGTGGTGACTGAGGTGCCACTAAGGTAACAGCAAACTTTCAAAACCTGTGCATTTCTTTGAAGAAAACGAGCAGCATTTCTGTAATTATGCACCAGGAGGGAGAGAGAGTATTTTAGATGTGCAGAGGTATATTCAGCTAAGTGTGGGGATGCATGCACTTGGAGGAAAAAGGAGTTTGGGTTAACCTGGGCTACCTAGTGAAACCATTTGTGTTCTCTCTCTCCTCTCTCTTTCCATCCTTCCCCATCTCTCTCTGTGTGTGAAGCAGACAACTATATACCATTAGCTTTACTTGTGTAGAACTGAGGCACAAGAGGAGAACTATCATGGCAGATCACCCCTAGGCTCTCGGCTCCCAGGTTTCTTTCTGCTGACATCTGCTTTTGTTTCTTCCAAGTACCACTCATTTCCACAGGAATGGTTGCTGGAATTTCTTATTACAGAGTTGAGCCAGCGCTGTGGTTGCACCAGGAAGAGCATCAGTTCAAATGGTGTGCAGGACTCAGCTTTTCCCACAGCAGAACTCCTAAAGGAAATTCTACTGGGTTGAGTCATCCCAGCAGGACTCTGAAGGCAGAACCCAAGAATTGAGTTGTTATGCTCCCCCTGGTGGATAAGGGCACAACTGCAGGATTTCTTGGAACCTGCCGGGCCACGCCCTGAAGGTTTCTTGAAGTTAATAATTATGATTTGGATTGATATTAACAATTGCAACTTGGAATTTAGCCTTCAGTTTCCTGGATACAAAAGTTGGAAGCTTCCAGGTGGGCTAAAGATGCCAAAAGCTGGCAGCTCAATAGACAGACAGACAGACACACACACGCACACGCACACGCACACGCACACGCACACGCACACTCTCACCGTTTCCCCTCCTAGCACCTCCTGTCTTTAGGCACTTTACCATCAAAGTTGCACTGCTGTGGCCCCCTGCACCTAGGAACGCTCAGAGCCCCTGAACCTTCTGGAGATTCTTTTTCACAGTCACAATGGAGATTTAAGCTTCCCTACAGGGAACTTGAACTGAAGGAGAGAAAAGTGTTGATAGGTTCAGGTACTGGAGGGAAAAAAAAATCAAAACCCTGCAGCCTAGAAACAAGTGTTTGCACAACATGTTCCTCCTATCAGAACTACAATCTCCGTATTACTAGTGTGTCACGTGAGAGCAGAAGTTTGGCATGGGGGACACACTAAGCTGGGAGACGGTTCCAGGCCAATGGGCCCAGCTCTGCTTTCCACCCCCGCAGACGCTTCCTTCCCCTTCCTTGCTTGCAGAACCACAGGGAGGTTCTGCCCATGTGGAGGGAGCAGTGACGGAAGGAAAGGGGCACTGTCCTGCGCCCTTCTACAGGATGGGAACAGGGACAGTAAGGAGAAAACACACGAGAAAAGGACACAGTGAAAGAATTTGTAAGATGCTCCCTAAGCACTCAACATTCCAGGAAAGCCTCCCATTGACTGGAATATGAGAACGAGGTTATCACACCAGTTAACTATTTCCTACTTAACCAATGCCAACACTCTTGCCGTTTGAGCTCGGCCCAAGGCGCCCCCGTGTGACGAAAAGGGGAAGAAGGAAAAAATCGGAAGTGATAAGATTGACACACCTAAGCTGGGTCTGCAAGCTTTTTTTTTTTTTTTTTTAAAATAAAGGAGCAGCTGCGTGTATTTTTAGCTCTTTAGGCCCCATAGGGTCCTGCCACTCTTTCGCTGTAACCCGGCAGCAAGGGCGGCAACACGTAAAGCGAAGGGGTGTGGGAGTGCCTGTAAACTTTATACCTTAGATTTTCATATAATTTTCATGTATCACAAGGGATCATTTTCCTTTCAACTGTCTTCCAACCATTTAAAAACAAAATCTATGCTTAGTTTGGTAGTAGGGCAGAAACCCACTTAAGCCATCCTCCAAAGATTGCGGATCCTCTTCATTGGAGAGACAAAGGAAGGTAGACTTTCAGGGTGAATTAGTGGAAAGGTCAGAAAAGCTGAGAGGAGACAGGCAGGTGATGCAGGGAGTGGCTAAAAAGATGGCAGGGAAGGGAGTAAAGGGAAGAGGAAGGAGCAGGCTGGGAGGGACTGGCCTCCTCCCACTTTCTGGCCGGCGGTTCCGCGGGCTGCAACAGGCGGCAGTTTCGGTGCACGTCTGTTTGCCTTGGCCTTTTGCCCGCGGCTTGCCGCAGCTGATTCCCCAGAACTCGGGAAGGCTAAGTTCTGAAACGTTCACTTTCTGGTATGTACGGACGCCTGGAGACGCCGCCCAGAACTCCCTCGGGGTCCCCAGCTCTCCAGCGGGGTTCCCGGCCTTCCCTGAATCGGTGACTTCGGCCGAGGTCCCGGCCGCCCGCTGGGTACAGGAGCGCTTGGCCCCGGGACTCCGGCGACTCCGGCGACTCCGGCGACTCCGGCGACTCCGGCGGCCACACCCAGTCCCGGCTCCGCAGCCAGTCGAGCGGCCACGCCCAACCCTAGCCCGTTTCTTGCCCGGGAGAACAAAAGTCCCCATTTCTTCCCGCAGGCTGTCATTAGGGTGCAATTTTAGGGCTTCATCTTGCCCTCCACTGTCTCTAATTGCCTCCCACACGGTTTTTTTCTTCCTGATCTATTTTCTGCCACGTCCACAAGTTAGTCCAAAGTACATCCGACCTAGAGCACCGGTAACTTTGCCCTTTGTTCTTTTCATTGTAAAGGAAGGGGGAAAACATAAAATTTTAAAAGTTAGGCTTACCAAGCTGGTGAGGAGCGAGGACCGACGGCGAATGCGGCTGACAGCGGCGGGTACAGGAGTGGCAGTGGCGACCGGGGTCTGGGTTCCGCCCCTCAGCCTGACTCAAGCCGGGACCGCCCCGCCCCCGCCCCTCCGCAGGCCTTGGCCTGTCCCCACTGCGTTCTGAATTCGCTTTGCTTGGACTCGGGCATATACACACCCATTGTCCTCCCTGGAACTCAACAGGCCTCTCTCTCTCCTGTGAACCTCGAGGATCGTTTTGGGTGAAGTCTGTCCATACTCCTAGCTCATTTCAGTGCCTGGGCCATCTGCACTTCAGGTTAGATAAGCAAAACGGTCACTTGAAAAATAAATCATAGTTGTCAAGAAGGTCCGTAGGAGCCAGGGCTGTCTATTCTACTACACTGAAGATATTTAATAAACAGTGACGATTTTAATTTTTTGTTTTGAGACATGATCTTTCATGTCGGGGATTGTATGAAGCACTTCTGGCTTCTAACCCTAGGTCCTCAAAATCACAACAAGTCACATTGCCCTTTCTGTTTGGTAGGACTTTAGGACTGTGTCATAGAGTGACGCTCTTGCGTGTGCCCTCAGCTCTGGCAAGACTGAGGCAGAAGACTTCTGCAAGTTTGAGACCAGCCTGTGGTCTACAGAGTGAGTGCAGACCAGCCTGGGTTACAGGGTAGGTAGGACCTTGTCTCAAAAGAAAACTAAAATCCAAACCAAAAGAAACACACCTGAAGGCCCCATCTGTGTTTCAAAATTCTCCATTTTTTACCAACAATGTAGCCAGTTTTTCCATTTTCCTTACTTGAAAACATTGCCACCATGTTTTTGTAAAGTCTTTCTTAAGCTATGCATTTTTTATCACTGCCCTTGTAATGTCAGCTCTTTGTATTGGACCCACCGGTCATTACTCTATCACACTTCCACTGATCTAGTTTACACTCCCGCTCCCCTTTTCCTCTGATTTCATAACTAGGCCCTTGCCCTCCAAACAAAAGAAACATATTTAATCAATATAAAAACACAGTTTCTTGGTATGCAGTTCAGAGCAAAACATGATACAATAAAGGTAACAAAATGGCTTACTAGGAGTTTTCTGCCAACCAAACTTCTGGGGTCAGCATGATGGCTTGGATGGTAAAACTGCATCCTCCAAGCCCAATAACCTGAGTCTGAGCATCGGAGCCCACATGATGGGAAAAGAGAACCATGTCGGCCTTTGACCTCCACATTGTGCTATGGTGAGGGTCCCCCACAGTAATTAATAGCAAGATAAACAAGTTTTAAAAATCTAATTTTCATGGCCTCTTTGTGTCTCTGAATAACCTGGTCAGCCTTAATGAATAAATTAAAGCACCAACTTCTTCTTTTGATTCCACCGAGAGCCTCCTATGGGTCAAGCCTTGCTCTGGGGTCTGCAAATACAAACACGCATGTGATACAGTGCCCGCCTTTGAGGTCCTCCAGAAAAGGACGTCACACACATGGGGTGGGAATTGAAGGTGGCTGCAAGGATTCTTTAAAATCCTAAGTTATGTGTGAAGTTTTCTGCATATGAGATTTTCTCCCCCTAGAAGAAGATAGATAGCTTGTATCAGGTTCAAAAAAAGCTATAACAAAAGTTACTAGAGAACCATTAGTCTAAGTTATTATATACCCCAGTCATGCACCTGTCCACACCATAATCTTCATAAATGGAAAACGCCTCACTTACAGCTACTGAGGGAGGGTCAGACTTGGTGACCAAGGTTTGCGTGATTTGACTTTGTGTTCATTGTCACAAATGATTGAACTTAAGGCCTGCCAGTGCACGGGATGGCAGGTGGCAAAGGCTTCATCTTAATATGATCTCAGACAAATCAGTCCTTTATCCGTGCAAGCTGGCAATAGAAACGCAAGCAGAATTTGGCAGATAGAAGAACTGAGGCCTAGAGAGAAGTAGGAAGTCAGGGCAACTCAGGAATAAGACACCAAGAATAAGGGAAAGCAGTGAGATTTAGAAAAACTGTGAGCTGGAGGGACGAACATGAGTCAGTTGGTCACCGACAATAAAGAAGGCTCCTGCGCAGAAGGAAGCTTTGGGGAAAAGGATGTTTGGCAAGGTTGGCAAACAATGAGTCAATCAAAAGGGCTAAGAAGGCGGGGGGCGCATGAGAATAATTGGTAGCAAGAAACAAACATGAGGTAACACAGTAGAATGGAAGAGCTGATCAGGAAATAAATGTGGGAATTCCCACAGTCCAGAGTAATTCTCATACATCATAAGCTGATTTCTGTATAGGGTAGAGTCCAACCCTAAATGGGCATACAGACGTGAGAAATGTGGTGACAAGATTGTGACCAGCTACCATGACACTGCTGGGAAGGGAGGGAGTGATCAACTCTGGGGGAGTAAGGGAAGAGTTATGGAAAAAGTGAATTTTGAGTTGGGTATTCAAAATGGATTAGAAATTACCAGTTGGTGGGCACCACGGTGAAGCAAGGTGAGGTCAGGCCACATAGCAGCATTTTAGGGTTGCAGACTGTGGCACTTAGACTAGGTCCCAATTCTCTGTACTTGTGAGATATTGGCTACACTGATTTGCCTGCTGCCATCTAAAATGGGAGAGACTAGGAGTTATTCGTGTAGAATATTTAAGGATTTGATCAGTATCGCCGGAGGAAGTTTTAATCACTGGTGCAACTGTAAAGCAGTTGTGTGTTATCAGTAGGTACCGGTCACTCAGGAGTGCTGGACTTCCAGAGAAGAGATGATGGTAAATGGGAGGCAGAAGCGGCTGTTAATGCCGTGCCTGAGAATTTGGATTCTAAGCAGGAGAGTGAGATGATCTTTCTCACTCTTATAATGGTAAAAAGATACTAGGGAGGAGAGACTGGAGGCTAAAACCATAGTAGGACCTTGAGTAGCCACAGTGAGATGGCCATGGTGCTGGTGACAGGGTACTGCCAAACTCTGAGAAGGCGATTCCAGACTTGTGTGGTATGCTGGCTAGGTTCTGTTTGGTTTTCAACTTGACACAATATGGAGTCGTCTGAAGCTGAGAGAATGTCCCCATCACATTATCTCGTTGGCAAGCTTGCGGGGCGTTTTCCTGATGAATGATCAATGTGGAAGGGCCCTGTCTACCATGTCCAGTGCCATCACTCTCGGGGTGTGTAAGAAGGTAAACTGAGCAAGCCAGTGAGCAGAATTCCTCCACGGCCTCTGCTTCACTTTCTGCCCCGAGTTCCTGTCCTGCCTTCCCTTCATAATGCTTTCCCCAAAGTTGCCGTTAGTCACGATGCTTCTCACAGTGACAGAAGCCAAACTAGGGCACTTGGCTGCTGTTTGGATGTAGGTTAGAGGGAAGGGAAATCAAGGATTTGGGTGGGGATTCTGCTGATAACTGGGCCTGGTGGCAGGACAGAATACAAAGCATGTGACATTTGGGGATGGGTAGGACACTCAGCTTCCATTTGAAGATGGGCAAGCAGGACAATTCAGTGTTGACAAGCTTAAGCGATGTCCCGTCTCCAGCCCGTTCTCCCACAGCTCCTGGTATCCTCGTCATTACTGTACTTTGTTGACATCTTCTTTCCACTTCGTCTTCCTCCCTGAAGGAAGGATAGAGATGGTGCCCTGATTACTTCAGCATTTCCAACACACAGCAGTTCTGACAGGAAGGTCCGTGTGTGGAGAGCTGGCTAGGCCCTGGGGTGATGGTGATCAGCAAGGCCAGGAAAGGATCTGCCCTTACGGTGTACCGCCCGGCTTAATACCGGCAAATAAACAGCAGCTAGAGAGTAGTGTTGGGAAGATGTGCCAACGTGGAAATAAGAGGAGAAATGCTGGTGAGAGTGAGCGTGCGCTGTCCTCCGCTACCGCCTCCACGTTATACTTCTTCATACTTTTCCAGGCCTCTTTCCTGCTGATGGTCACTGCCGTTAGGTCTTCAACTGCTGTTGGCAAAATTGAGACATTTTCTCTTTCACAATGATCCACAGAAGATTGTGACATCCGTGTGCTCCAAGGATTTACAAGACTCATGTCCAGTCAATTGTGACCTGAAAGTGCTAGTGAATTATTCTCAGAGGTTCTCTATATTGCTTAATTATTTTTTAAAAATCCAGTTACTTCATCCTAAAATTCAAATTCCCTTGTGGCCCAATTCCAACTGTGTTGTTGTGGTGGTTGCTGTTGGTTTTCTTTTCACTCACCATGAACTCTAGTCAAGTTGAACTTTTTCCAGCGAGTTTTCAATGGTCAGAACCAGTTATCACTGGCTTCCAGCCACACTATTGTTAATGGACTTAGGGGGTCACAGTCTGTGTCCTCAGTAAGTCAGGTTGGCAGGGATCTAAATTAGGGTGCAAAGTCCTGAAAGGACAGTTATTCAGTGTGGAAGAGAGGCAAGAGACCCAGTGACACCCCCCACCCCGCAAGCCCACTAACATGAGGGTGTCTGAAAAGATTATTCTTGGTGTCACACACAGAAATACACCAAACGAAGCACAAGTAACCCAGCAAGGCACAACCTAAGTCAGGCTAGCAAGCACACCACGGCAGGAAGTTCATCGGGCTTTTAGTCTAACTTAAGCAGTAACTGTGCCTTACCCCACTGTCAAGAGCTGGAACTCAGAATCTGATTCTGGTGACTAATTCATAATTGATGCAAAGGGGAAGAAGGTGAGAGAGAGTTCAGTCTCAGAGCTGTGCAGGCAAACATGCATGCACATCAAAATTTCACAGGTTGGGGGTATTATTTTTATAATATCGACCCTTGGTGGGCTAGCCACCTTTAATAGAAAACAAAACCATTTCGCACAAGGGTAGGGCTTAAATAGAAAGAAGAGATGCAAAACTAATGAGTTTCAAGGTGTGATTCCCTCCACCAACCGCCCCCCTACCCTGTCACAATTCAGCCTCTCTTGCAAGGCTTTCTGACAGCTAGAAATCTTTTCCCTGGAGACAAGTTTCCTCTCTGGCTACCCCCAGAGCTTCAGCCATTTCCTTTGCTATCAGAAGACTCCTGGAGAAAAGCTCATTCTGGTGTGTATATGTGTGAGAGTGTGTCATGTGTATGTCTGTGCTGTGTGTGCTATGTGTATGTGTATACGTGTGTGAGTGGGGGAGTTGTGCATGT